TCTAATGATAGAAATGCTGGTCATTTTGAGTGAAAGTAAAGGATAATTCACTTTGTTTTTTCATATCTTATCCTTGCATGAAATAATCTGATGAGCGTAGGTATAAGGACAAGAATAGATCACTTTTCAAAAGAATAGGTTTGTCATGTTGAAATTTTCACCGATTTGATAATTTGTGCATTAGTATTTGAAAGGATGTTTTGACCCATGGTCTTAATATATGTCACATATATACGTCATCCCTAATTTTTTTAACAGACATCATCTGTTTTAATACCTGCCCTTCCCTTATTGCTTCGACAAAAGACAGTTAAAGCCTTACCAGTAGCAAAAATGAAGTCTTTAAACATGAAATATCACAATTTTTAAATATCTTCTCATCGTATTTCTTTTCGAAAATGAAAAGATAATGTGGAAAGAACTTTCTTAACACCCTTTATTTTCACTAAATAATCAACGTGGCCCCGCCCTAACACTAGAACCCCTGACCCTTGGGTCATGAATTTCACAATTTTGGTAGAGGACTCAAAGCTTATTACATTCATGCCAACAGTTTGCCTGCTCATATTGAATATGATTTTTTTTATTATTAAGGTAGAAGATGTCTATGAAAATAAGTCTATATTTAATCAAGTACTTATATATAATGTTTACACATGCCAAAAACAAACAATCCACCCTTCATCACCTGTGCAGTACACTGTACAGGACAAGTGTAAAAACAAACCAAATGTTTTTGAAAATTTCGTGACGTAAGTCTTATGGTATGAGTTGTGTCTGTTTCTTTGAAGGTTATGAAATCTTAAGATAGATCAATTACTTACAACACATAAAAAAATTTCTGACAAAAAAATAAACGACATCACATTAGTTTACTTTCTGATTAAAAATCTTGCCTTATCTCTTGACAGTGAATGTAGTGTTAAAAGATAAAGGCATGTTTTTTACCTCCTTAATTCTATATTAATCTTTGCTGAATGTCACCGACAGAGAAAATTTTAACAAAATGGCGGCGAGTAAACCAAAATACTCTGCAGGATCTCCTCAGGAACATATACAAATGTGTAAAAATCATGATATACCTATCGATTTGGTGTGTGAGGATTGTGATGAATTCATTTGTTCTACTTGTGCAAAAACAGACCACAATAAACATAACTGGGTCACACAGGGTGTGGCCGCCAGTCGAAGGAGAAAGGGACTTTTGGAGTTTCTGAGGAATATAAAGGAAGAGAAAGTGTCAGAGATAGATGAGAAGATGACAAGTAAGAAGACTGAGTATGAAAGAACATACGAATCCCAGATGAAAAAAGTAAAGAAGCATTTTGACGAAATCACGGCCAGGTTGACAGATATCAGGAAACGCAAAGAGGAGCTATTGAAAAGCAATCTGAGTAAGAGAGACGAACATTTAGCAAATGAAAAATCTCGAGTAGACAGAAAAAAGAATAAAATATTCGAAATAATAAAATACTTGGAGGAGAACTACAGAGCCATGTCTGATAAAAACTTTATAGAGAACCACAGAGACCTGACATGTTAGGTAAATGACTTGGACATTGATATAGAGAACTATTCCATTCGATACAGAGGAGGGGACATTGACGATGATTTGTTGGAGTCCATGTCAGGTCAATGTTTTGATTTAGATGATATCAGTGCTAAGGCATCAGATTCGTTTAAATACAGTGAACATATAATTTTATGTTCAGAGGCTTTAAGTGAAGATGACTGTTACGTACGAGATTCAGAATCAGATTTCGTTGAACTGATTAACAGAAAAGGAGAGAGGAAGCAGAAATTAAATTTTGATTCAAATGATTTTTGTGTAACAACTAGTGGTATTTATTTCACATCGAAACAGGAAAGTTCTATTTGTTATTTTTCTCCATCAGGGTCTATCTCGAAACTTTTTAATACTGACCCCGTGGAACCTGGAGGAATATGTAATTCTGTGGATGGTGGAATTTTTGTTGGTTTTGGAGATTCTGAAACGAATGCTTATACACCAGACTCGAACAGTCGACGTTTAGTGAAACACTTGACAATGACCGGTGATGTCATCCATGAGTACGAGTACCAAGAGGACGGTCAAACCCGGCTGTTTATAGCACCAGTCAGACTCTTTCAGAACAATAACGCTGATATCTGTGTTGTGAACATAGTGAACATAGTAAAGAACAAGTGATGATGCAGGGGAGGTTGTGATTGTATCTCTCTCTGGTCGCTTGCAATCCGTCTATCGTGGACAGAATCTGAAGGAGGACTTTTATCCACTAGACTTGGTGTGTGATTCCACCTGCAACATTCTTGTTATTGATCCAGCCAATAGTCTTGTTCACTTGATGAGTCCTAAAGGGGAGTTTTTGAAATACTTACTGACAGAAAAAGAGGTAACACACCCAACGACATTATCACTGTACAAGTCTGCACTGTGGGTGGGAACTGGTGAAGGAATTGTGAAAGTGTTTAATTATAATGGTTTGCAGTGATATTTATTGAGATCCCGTTGATCCTAGGCTAGCTGTCAAACGTTGCAGTATTTTCTTTTTTATAATAACTACTTTTTCTTCTTCATTGAATGATAGTGGAATAAAATTGAAATCATGTTTGCAAATGGAAAAAGAGTTGAATTTACAAATAGTTGGAACATTGACTTCGAAGTAATATATTTTATACTTAATATATTTCTTGACTTAAACAACAAATATTAAATCTCAAACTAAAAAAAAATTGTTATTAATCTGCAAGTAATACCAGTATTTCCCGGGAACTACCAGTATTTCCCACTACTTGGGTAATACTGTATATTCCCTATTTACCGCCCCTACCCCTATAAGCGCCCCCTTTGGTCTTTTTCAATTGTCAGGAAATAAGGGCCCCCTGTACAGTGATTAAAATCAACTAGAATTGTATCAAAAAAATGAAGAAAGTGAAAATGAAATTTGTCTATTATCAAATTTCTCAGTGTAAAATGAACAATTTAGCATAATTTTTGTGGATTATGTTCACTTTAAGTAAAGTTAGACTATCTTAGTTTTTTCTTGTATTTATTTTTATTTTGAAACAATTTTTTGAAGTTAAAATATGACATTAAATATCATAAAGAAAACACCAAAATAACCGCCCCCTTTTTGCAATTTTCTAAGCACCCAGGGCAGTAGATAGGGATTATACGGTACATATTTCCCGCTTTTTTGTTATAGTCTTATAGTTAATGCATAAACTTCTTTGTAAAGACCTTTCATTACATGTTAAATATTTGATGACATTTTCTTTGAATCTGTATTCATTTCATAGTATGACATGTACAATAATCAACTGATTCTGAGCTTTGATGCCTTTAACATGTTGACACTGTTTAAGATAATGGAGATACTAATATGTTGTCATAAGTTTACAAAATACACAAATGAAGAGAAAATTCAGTCAATAAAATTCAAAATTAACACCTCAGGGACTAGTTTCTCAAAAAGGCCTACGTCCAGTCGTAAGCTTAGTCCAGACTAAATCAGTGACTAAACCCGAGAATTGGACTAAGTAGCGTTTCACAAAAAGGCGGAGACTTAGTCGAGACTAAATTTGGGTTTAAATCTAGGCCTGCTCGTGAGTAGGCGTAAGTGCTTAGTCTGTACACGCATTGAAAAAAAGGCATGCGTTTTAATCATAAAGAGTTAAAAGAATGATTATTTTATACGTATACGATATAAAACCTATTCATAAACATGTACATAATTATATATTATGCTAAAAATCGTGAAAATTCTTATAGCATACTGTATTATGAAGGAAAATAGAAAGGTAGTTAAATCCATCAAAGATGCAGACTTTTTCCGCAAAAGGTGGTATGAACTAGAAATTTTTATGTCAGAATTTTGAATATAAGTTGGGTAAGATTTTTAAAGAAGTGCCAGAATTTCTTCGTAGAGGGTTGGGGGGGGGGGTGTTCAATCCATACCGTTTTTATTGCAGTTATGTGTTTTCTGCATAAATAAAGCTGTGCAATTTATGGACTGACTTCAACTTTCAGCATTTCTCTTTTCGGCTGAATATTTTGATCACCAAACTCACCACCACCCTCATCCCCTTCCCCATTAACTTTTTAAAAACGATGCTACATGCTGTAGGTCCTGAATAATTTTTTGTTGTTTGAAATGGATAATGTTTCAATAAAATCCTCAAACAATATCCATTTTTATACTAGTATTTTAGATGACGAAAAAAATATTCGGTAACTATGCCTTCAACCAAGTTTATGTACGTTAACTAAAATGTATCTTTGATTCTCTCTTTTAATTGCATGTAATTAAATATTATATTAATAGAACATAACAATTTAAATTTGTTAAATGTTCTAGTTATCTAGTATTATAATTAAAGTATTTTGACCATAATACTTTTCATTCCTATTTCACTGGAGTCACTGTCGGGAGGTGAAATGTGTAGATGAGTCTATTATTTTTTCGTAAAGATGCTTTTGATTAATTGTCAATCTATCACGTATCTCGGATGAAGTTTGCCTAAAAAAGGTTTTTTGATAGATTTTTGAACAGAAAAATGATTTATATTATATTTGAAAAAAAAACTTCTCATATGATAATGGTGATGATAAATTGTTGTAAAATGTTTTATTGTGAATGTAAATCGCGACTTTTTAATATCTTTAAATCTAGATTACATCTTCAAAAAACATTCTTCATCTATAAAAAAAAAATAATAATGTATGAACATATCCTGAATAGAAATTGAAAAGGAATGGATAGATTTAAGGAAAAGATGGTGATGTTGAAATTAGTACCTTTCCCGATCTAAATGAATCTGATTTGAAAATATTGAAATGGAAAATTCAAATGGAGAAATTTATAAAAATTACTAGATTTCTTGTCTGTAATATGGTTCACAAGAATTATAGATTTAAAACTAATTTAGCTTTTGCAAGCCATCATTGATTCTGCAATTGCTATATATAGGTACGTATGTTTAAATGGACTATGTAAATTATTATATCGATATCAATGTAATACTATGTGTCCAAAATACTAGTATTGTAAATATACACAGTAGGTATATACATGTATCAAATGCAATGTCAGTATGTCTAATTCGTAATTAATAAATGGATTGATATTGTAAAATTAAGACAACTAATTTTTCTTCAAAATTCTCTTATCCATGTTTTAATGATTATCATTATCATATGATTACAAAATTGTTAAATTTTCACAGTGCGCCTATGGGTCGGGGGCTCCGGTCCTTCACTCTCTCTGCGTAAAGTATTTTAACTAGAGAAAAACCTAACTGAGATACAGGTTGCCCCCTCCCACGACTTTCAAATATATTGCTACGAGCCTGTTCCAACCCCATGCAATATAATTTATGGCTTTTACTCATAGGAAAATTTCTTTTTATTCCAAATTTTGACAAGTACGTATAATACCGGGTATACACGTTTATATTTTTCTATAGTATATATTTCACTTCTAAAATTAACCTGAGCATACCAAAATACATATAATTACAGGGACCTAGCAACCGCCCCACCCCCACTTTTGTTCCCAACATTACTAGTACCTTTATTATAGAAAATTTTCATTGAAAGGATGGTTGCCCCCGCCCCCCCCCCCCCCCCCACTTTTTACCATAGTATAGTGATCTGAAAGAATTGTAGAAAAAAAAATTGGAATTGAAAGTACATGTAACTTGGCTTTGAAAAAAAAAGTTGGCCACTACCCCCCCCCCCCCCCCCCCCCCCACACACACACACACACACCACGAAATAGGATTTTCGATTTTGGGCAACTTTTAGGTAAGTAAAAAAAAATTCTCTGGTTGCCCCCCCCCTTTCAAAAACGACGCTACGTGCCTGAACTATTTAATATAAAACTTGTGGATGTAGAGGGGGAGGGGGTTGTGTCCAAAATAATAACAAAAGATTTGCTAAATTAATTTTTTTGTGTGAGTGTGGGCCTCTAACTCGACCCCAATCTGCCCCTTTTGTCAAGATTTCTGAATCCGCTAATACTAGCTAGTATGTAAATGCTTTAACTTTGAAAATACAGATAGATTCGCGTATTATATTTGTTTGAAAGCCGATGAAAAGCCAGGGAAAATTCGTGCTTTTTGTGCTTCACTTTTTGTAATCAGGTTTAAGTGTGATCCGCCGCATGTTATTGTACTCTCTAAACCAAATAAAATACGATCTGCGCATGCTTAGTACCTAGCGGAAAGGTCTTAGTCTTAGGCCCAGTCTTACGCGGTTTTCTGAAACGTGATTTAGGCCCGACTAAATTTTGGCGTAACTTTCTTAGTCGGACTAACTTAGCCCCAAATCTACGACTGTTTGAGAAACGGGCCCCAGGAATTCATGTTTCTGAATCCGATACATGTATATTAATATTTAACAGTTGTATTAAAACAGCAAAAACAAACTTATGGAGAATTTTATTGACAAATTGTTGTCAGTACATGTATACTAAAATATAAAAAAAAATATTTGTATCTGATACAAAAAACTAATAAAGCACTAATCTTACAAAGTCATTGTTTTCTATAATGTTATGCAACATTTATCTTTTCTCTGAGTATGGTATTAACTTAAAGTGATCGATTTGACATCATCCACACAGAAGAACTAATGCCTACAAAGGCTAATACCCAGCAAGTCCAGCTGCTGCCAGAGAGCAACATAGCAGCATTTAGAGGCAACAAAAACACAACCACTGGTTCTGGTAGCAACACAACAGATTTCCATAAGATGCCCCAGAGCACATAATAAATAGGCGTGCTGCCCAGAATTAGAAGAAGTTCTAAGAATGATCTGACAAATGTCCAAGAGTTTGAATGCCAGACATCACTGCCACATATTCAAAATAGAATTAAAACTACTATGGAAATGATTTTCGTTGCTGTTGTGTGGTTGCTGTCCTTAAGGTTGTGAATAATTTTCATGTCTTTTTGTAAACATATTAGAATCACACTTGCTCCACAACACTGAAAAAAGAGGGATAATAAATAGGAGTAATTGTCATAAAATATTTCTTTCGATAAAAATTTCTGAATTCAATTAAAAAATTCATTTTCATATCTGGAGCAAGACAAAAATACAATGTATTTCTATGTCCATTACAAGCAATTGCTAGAATAGTGCATTTTTTTGTTATGACTTGTCAAAAGAAATTACAGAATAAAAGGTCAAAGCTATTGCTATATGTAATATTTTGAATTTAATAATCAATGTATTCAGCAATAAATGTTTACTCATTAAAAGAAAATAAAGATGCAAATTCTTGCGAAAAAGATTTTTTTTTTTTTGAAAAAATATGATCATTGACATGATGCATGAACTAGTATTTAAGAATATTTAAACATGATTGGTAATTGTTATAACTGTGAGACTTACCCATATATCATACAGTAACCCTGTGGCGGGCCCCAGTAAACACAGGAACAGGAAGGAAGTGATGTTTGTAATATTGCCAACCAATGGCAGATAAGGAATCTCCTTATCATCCTTCTCATGTAGAGGGATATACTCAGAATTCTGAATCACAAATTAATACAATGAGGGATATCTTAACATTTTTATACTGTATGTAGCTTGGGAAAAATATTTTCCAAAGAAGTCTTTTTAATTTTAATTAATTTTCTTTTTAATTTTAATTAATTTTCTTTTTAATTTTAATTAATTTTTCTTCCAAATTTAATTTTTTTTTTTGTTATGGTAATAAAGTGTATACAGTAAAACTTGTTTAGTACGAACACGAATATTGTGAATTCACGGATATAGCAAAGTCATCTTGGATCCCCAGCTGTAAAAATTTAATGAATTCCTTATACCGATATAACGAATTACGGATATAGTGAAGTAATTTCATAAGTTCCAGTGACTTTGTTATAACTGAGTTTTACTGTATTATCTTTTGATACTGTAAAATCACATATTTTCTTGGGGTCAAATTTTCGTGGTTTGAGGAAAAATCGTTGGTTCGTGGGGATTGATTTCGTGAATGGAGAACTTTTTAGTAGTTGTTCATATGACAATTTACATTTCATGGTGGACATAAATTCATGGGTCTCTTAATTAACCCCCCACGAAAATTATCGATTTCACAGTAATTCGAATGAACATGAAGAAAATTACAGTATATAAGAAAATAAAATTTAAATTTGATTTTACTGAAACACATCTCATTTCTTTAGGTTTACACTTCTCATTATAATATACCCCAATGCAAAGGAACTTACCCTAGAAACAACTACTTTGGTACATATACAAATGACAAGGTTTACTGCAAGGAATAATTTCCATGATGGCAGAGTCAAGATGGGTTGTTTGCGTTCCTTGGTAACCAAGTCAACAATTAATGAAAGGACACCAAGTAAAACTACCAGCATGGATCTGCAAAAAAAAATAATAATTGGCATGCAGTGTTCACATTTGTGTCAGGTATTGCAAAGATATGCTTTATCATTAGAGTATTAAACTTATTTCATATTTAACGTAAGATGCACATGAAAAATAAATATAAAGTATATTTTGTTTCAGAATTTTATCAGAACCTTCAAATGTGCATCAAATTCAAAATATTAATCCATTCTGATCTGTTTTATTAATTTTCCATGCAAACTTAACTTTAGAATGTTCCTAATACTTACACTGTTAGAACATTTTTCTCAAACTTGTCGCCAAGATGCTCTGATTTTGAGAATGCGTAAAGAGCACAAACAAGACACAAGGAAACAAGTCCAAATAAGATTAGATTAAAAATTGGTGCCTGGTCCTCAGGATACAACTGAAAGGATGAAAGACAGTCATTTCTGATAAATCATTCCACAAAATTTTGAGTAAGAAAGAAGCCTTTAAAAGTAACAAGTTGTAGAACAATTTGTACAAGTTCATAAAAAAAATTCAAGTGATTGCAGTAATTATGGAACAATGCTAGACTTCTTATATTTCATGGATAACCTGAAATGTACCATTTTAAACCACAGTAATAATGTCTTTCCTTTCATAAATCTCTAGACTACGTTTAGAAGTTTGCATTTTAATGTAAATGTAAAGAGATCATGCATTACCCAGGGTATAAAAAGATGATTTTGATTTGGCATCTTGTATTTGATTTTGAGTATCACATCACATTAGCAGAGAAATTCTTACATAGAGAGCGGCCCTGAGTCCCGGGTTGATCCCCACCAGTACTGAGGCTACCACTATGTGGGGGAATGTCCTGATGGTGTCTGCATACATAATGACAATCATACTCATAATGCTGATCACCTCACATAACTGAAATACTCCATTCCTAGAAAAGAGAAAAATGTGTCAGTTCCATTTTCTGTAATACTCTCAGAGTTCAAGCTAGCTGCAGATCTGTAGCATTATGGTTTTATATTTTTTCTTTGACCATAACGCTACAGATCCAGTTATGCAAAAAAAGGTGCAATTTACGGCGCAATATCTTTGCGCACTTTTGGATAGATTTTCTCATCTTTCCAGCATCGGTCAATCAACTTAAATTTAAAACGGGACGAATTCAGATTTCACAGCAATAATTCTTAAACAGAATTGTGACTGGGCGAATGTAAAACGTGGCAAAATTGCTACTGGAACAAACTTATAAGTTTTAGAAAAAAACAGAACATTTTTTTTTTTTTTGCATGAATTAATAAGAAATTTTGTTTATCATGGTTTTCATGCCAAGTTTGAATGGGACAATTATAAGTGTTCATGATTCATCTGATGAAAATGTGGAATAGATTTTTGCTTTAAGAATCTGCTGTCAATTGTAAATTTTTATTTTAAAAGATATACTTCAATAATTTCTGACTGCAATACCATACAAATTAACCATTTTACAAAGTTCAACTACTTATGAATGTACTGAGCTTTACATGTAAATTGGTGTCAGAAGGGATCGGCAAGCCTTTAAGCATTCACATCTGATAAGAATAAGAACAAACTTCACTTTGAGATTATCAACCTGTGATAATTCTTTTCTTTCAATATTTAGTTGCATGTTGAGGTATTGCTTGCACAACAATTACAAGCATGTGTGACTCAATAAGCATATCAAATCCAACAACATGATGATATAAACACTTTATGGAAACCTTTTTTCTACCTTTTTCTGATGTCTTTTGATTTGAAACACTGGGGATTTAGAGGTGGGACCCAAAATATACGTAGGTTTTAATTAATCAATTTTTGGATGAAAAGGTCAAGGTCATGTTTGTTGAGTGAGGAGGTTTGTTTCAGAGCTCACCTGTTTTTTGTTGAATTAAGATATTCACAGTGATATTTATGATGTGAAAATTGTCATAGATTTGCTGAATTGCTTCTGTTAGACAAGAGGATAAAATAATTGCCAAAAAAAAAATATAGTGAAATAGGTGTTTGCTTTACCCTTTTTCAAAATTGATAAAAGATCCTGAGTAGTGTTTGAGTAGTGTTCATCTCAGTGCTGGTGTTAACCTGGTCTACCTGTGTTCTACCTGTGTTCATCTGTACACCTGTATTATACTGGAGCACTGGAGCATTACAATGTCCTTAAAGGAAATAAAGGACACAAAACTGGAAGATCAAACATCAAACAGACAATGGACGAAAGCAGATCTTCATTGTCACTGTCATCAGTCCCAGCTGAGGTCAAAGATCAGATAGTGTCTACAAAGCCAGCCAGCAAACAGAGAAGAATTTCATCAGCAGGAGAGGATGATCATTCAGAAATGGAGAACATCAAAGGTACTCTTTACTCGATACAAGGAGCCCTTAAAAAACAAGTGACCAAGGATGACATAAAAGACCTAGTCAAAAGTGTTATTGTGGAGGTAAAGGAGGAGCTAAAGAAGGAGATGAAGGAAGAGCTGAAGGAGGAGATCAAAGAGGAGATCAAGGAGGAGATGCTAAAGGAACTGAAAAAAGAGATAAGTCAGGATCTGGAAGAAAATAAGAATCGCCATGGCCAGGAACTCTCTAAATAGTGTAGCGGCTTAGATCAAAATTTCAGCAAAATAGTTCACTTGTGGATACAAGCATGAAATTTGGCACAAATGTCTATCTGATCCTACTTAATCTAAAAACATCGTTGGCCACCGCGATTTCCGCCATTTTCAAGATGGCCGCCAATAAAACAAAATGGCGACATTTTCATGCAGTTTGGCCTCACATACATTCATTTACATCCAAATTAATAATACTTTGGCCGCTTCAAGATATCTAAAAAGTTAAAAAAAGACTATAGAAATCATATTCCAAATTGAAGACCATAAATATAAAGACAGAATAATTCTATTTTATTGATATATATTGTTCTTTATTGCAGAGATGAAATATATTATCACAGTAGCAAGAATCCATTTTTAAAACAAAACTGTAGCAGATGTTTTACAAAAGCCTCGCAGGCGTCCCCTCACTATCCAGTGGGCCTGGATACCACGTAAAATTTTGTTTTTGAATTAAAGCCCCCCCCCCCACCCCAGTAAGTAAAATAATGATAAATCCCTCAAGAAACATAAAATCTCATGGAGTGAAACACTCCTCTAACGCACGTAAAATTTCAATAAATGAAATAATCCTTCATAGAACGTTAAATCTTATTTATTGAAATATTCTTTCAAGCAATTTTCATGAGTGAAATACTCCTTCAAGGGACCTTAAATAAAAGCTTATGAATCAATTTTGCATTAATGGCATAAAACAACAGATAATCATTCGCTGTCCACAATGAAAAATGCAATGGAATGAGAAGGCAGTACCATCCTTTTTAAAGTGAAGACAAACGCCTGTAAAGGCATGTAAAAACTTTTAATTGTTCTTGCTAAAAGATAAGACGAGAATGACTGGAAATTTATGATGAAGATTGATTTGTTGTTAATATGTTGTTAATATTTGATGGGTTGCATATTGAAATGGCAGCTTTCAAAGACCCAATTTTGTGCAGTGCACCATGAGTAGTGAATATAGCTATATATATATATATATATATATATATATATATATATATATATATATATATATATATATATATATATATATATATATATATATATATATATATATATGATTGCGCCCATGACAAAAGGGTCCTTATGACATTTTTGCTGAAACAGAGAAATAACGTCATAAAGATGTGACGTTGCAGAGTGACGGCGAACTTCGACGCAGAATTTTTTTAACCACGTGTTTTGACGTTTGACGCATCCAGAGTTTTTATCGCTGTTTCCAACATGTGGAATTTATTTTTATTTATAAATTAATTTAATCAATATCTGAATCTACTTATCCATCGATTTTAATAGATATAATTAAATAAAAAACATTTAGAACTGGTTTCTTAACAAACATTATTAAATATGTCTCTATAATACCAATAGTTTCCCTACATCACATGCGTAAATGTATGGAAGCTGTAGACAAGGTGTTTTCTGATAGGATAATGAACCTTTATACTCTAGATAAATTTTATTTACATATTTATAGGCCTACCATTTTTAGAATACTCTTAGACAGGGTATATCGTAAAAAATTATTGCAAAGGAAAATGGTCTTCCTATACTTCTTTGAGATCCGCTCCACCACTCTCAATATACATCGCGATCGCGTCAATCACAGGTAAACATTGATTAATCGGTGCATACTGCTTAAACTGTTGTTAAATTGTTAATACAAATGTGGAAACTAAATATACATCTTCCACGTTTTTTTACAAATCTAGCAAGAATGTGTAAGAACAATAGTCAAGATTATTTGTATTTTCTAGAAATAAAAATAGGAGAGATAACTCTGATGTCAACAATCGATGTAACAGGGGTACCAGACAGTGACATTCATTATTTTAATTGCTTACTTTTTCACATTTCAGCTGCATGTTCGCATGAATTTTATAAGATTATAAAACAGATATTTTATGACCAAATAAAAACACTTTTAATCGTCAGCGTAATTATGAATTTTTAAATAAAAAAATATTGTTGTACTCTGGGAATAAGGTTAATGTAGAAAAAAGGATAAACAAAGAAAATAAAAGGAAAACTGCAAAATTGAACAGACTTTAATTTTTTTTTTCAAATCTCTTATCTATAGCTTTTTTTTTTGCTTGAAATAATTTCATGACGAATTTCACTTTTTAAAAAATAATAAACATGTAAAGCGTCTACCCTATAATCATGATTTAAAAAATTAAACTTTAAAACTGTTGTTTTGTCTTATATTCTTGTTGCACAAAGCAAAAACATCCGAATGAAAAAAAAAATGTTCTTAATGTTCTAGCTTAAATAGAGCTGGTCAAGTAAATCTGATGAGACAGCGAGAGTGAGAGAGAGAGAGAGAGAGAGAGAGAGGATGGAGGGTAGATAAAAATATTTATAGTGAATCTATTTATCTAATATTGAGAAATGTGAAACTCTATTGAAAACGATGAGTTTTCAAAACAAATGAAATAATAAATAAAAGAAAATATCATTTTTGTTCTCTAAACTATATATACATGTATAGCTTTCAAGATCATGTATTTTCAAGATCTCCAAATTTAACATACATGTAACTCTTTGGTACTTACGTGTTGTTGTTTTTTTTTTCATACGGAATTCAAATGTTTGAAGCATTATCTGCAAATTAATTCCTTAAGCCATGACGAACTTTGTCTTTCATAAAAGCTCGATCATCATTGAATGTCTCTTAACAGATCAATTATCATGCTAAAAACTCAATCATCACTGAACTTATAATCTCATTGCAGTTATCAGTGTGGAATAATATATTGTTTAACCTGCCATCAAATTATGGATTAATATTATTAAATATGCTCAAATATGATTTTATTTGTTTTGGTTGATAAAAAAAATCCTTATAAGTTCACGGTCGGGTTTTATTTCTACATGTTAATGCTAACAGAAAATAAAATTCAATGCTGAAAATACATTACATAAAACCGCAACAATATGCTTGCATTTTGTTTTATTTTGGACGCAATGCAGGGGATGGGGTGGGTGTGTCCTTAGATATTTCCGTAACATGTAGTCTTTACAAGGCTTAGCATATCCAAGCTTCTGGCACCAGGCACGTAGCATCGTTTTTAAAGTGGTGGGGGGGGGGGGGCAGCCAGAGAATTATTTTTACTTCCCTGAAAAGTTGACAAGCAAAAAATAAAAGGTTAATATTGCACAAAGTCGAAAATCCTATTTCATGGGGGGGGGGGGGGGGGGTTAGAGGCCAACTTTTTTTAATATCAACTACTTTCAATACCAATTTTTATAGTACGTTTTCCGTACATCACTAATAGTGGGGGGGGACCAGACTTTCCATTATCAATTCGTATAGTATAAGTATAGTATAAGTATTTATAAGGTTGGGGAAAAAAGTGAAGGGCCAGCTGCAGCCCCCCCCCCCCCCCCCCCGTGGCTACGTCCCTGGGCACGGGAACAGAATGGAATTCATACTCTTTTAAACTCACTTTATAAAATAAAATTAGAAAACAACATTAGAATGAAGGGGATTTTTTTAAATTTAAATCATAAATAATATGATGATTTTCTAAGATGTTTACATCCCTACAAAAATCTGACATTTCAAAGCTCAGCCAGTTCACAGGCAATTGTCAGGAAATATATTATACAAAATAGTCATATTCAACTGACTGTATATTTAGGCATAAACAATTACATGTTATTAATCTTTAACCCACCCTTACCCCAACAAAAGCTGTATCATTATATACATGATTAAAAATACTGAATTCATAGCAATTCAGTTCCAGGCTCAAAGTGTTTATGATCGCTGTGCGATTTTGAAAATAGCAATGCTCAGAATTAAAGGTACAAATATAAAATGAAGAATAATAGGCAGCATTATTTCAAACCTAAATAAAACAGTGAATCTGCAAGTTGTAGGGTTAATGGTACAGGATGCACCTAAAACTTTTGAAGTTAAAAAAAATATATTTTTATTTATTTTAACTCGTGTTCACAAGAATTGAAAGTTTCTGCCATTTAGATTTTTAATTCCCCCCCCCCCCTCGCCAACATACACATAATCCTACAAATGTTAATCCTGGGTTTATCTATTGTGTAAATGATTGCGAATTTTAACTCATTCATTTGTTTGTAAAATTTCCACCTTTTGATTGGTTAATATTAAAATATTTTTACTGCTAGACTGAATATTTCGTGTATCCTTTATATTTTCAAAAAAGCAGTGTCATCATTGACTCAATGCAGACAGACAACCATATAGATGCAGTGAATCAACCGAATTTCCTTTTTATTTACTGTCTTTTTTGTATCGTAATTACATGTTACATGTACCACACTTCACAATTTTTCTGTCTTTATATAAAGTTTAGAAAAAAAGAACAATCAGATAAATTTTCACTTCGCAGTAGCATTTAGGTAGCGTAATGTTGTTCTAGATACATGTATAATTTTTAAAAAAATAATTTTCACATATTTTGTAACTAAAGATATATCGTTTTGCTGAAATCTTGACCTATCGAGAGTAATGTTTAAATTAAAATAATTTTCAAATGAATTCTACAGGCTTATCAAATGACTCTTGCATGGATTACCAGTATATATTTTGTTTGAGAAATTAATTGTTTCAAAAAAAAAAAGAATGGATGTTGCACGCTGTTCTGGTCTCCCCCTGGTGTCATAGAAAAGTGAAATGTAAAACAAACACTCACTCATGATACTATACACCACTGATGAATCCATAATACATATAACTATTAAATAATTATTAATTAAAAGAGACAATGAGATAAAAATAATGTGCAAGGAAAAAAACTAAATATTATACAACTATTAATCACCGTAGTAAAATTACAGAAGAAAATCATTTAACGATCACTCTGAAAACGTTTGACGTTGTTGAAAAACATGACGTCATTATTAGCCTGTTAAAATATATTTGATAAAAATGAAGAAAAAACCTACTTAGAGTAGACGTAGGACCATAAAAATTCATATTTGACAACTTCTAACCTTACTCTATCAGAATCCGTGAAAAACTCAAAATGCATAAAAATTGCCTTAAGGACCCTTTTCACATGGGCGCAATCATATATATATATTTTTATTACTACATTATATATATATATATATATATATATATATATATATATATATATATATATATATATATATATATATATATATATATATATATATATATATATATATATATATATATATATATATATATATTAAATGTAGTAATAAAAATATATATAAATATTGTTTATCATTATATGTTTTAAATATCTGAACTCAAAATAGATTTATTAGCATTTTTATTACTACATTTAAAAAAAATATATTGTTTATCAGTTAATCATTATATGTTTAACATGAAATTATATAAATAGCAGATGGGTGTGTTGTAGAGGTTATACGTTTGACAACAAAACAAAAACCTGCACTGGTATGTATTTTTTCTCTGTTAGTGATGAATAATTATTTTTCACATAATCTTCCCCAAAACTAGATCATAATGGAATATTTATCATATAAATGGTGAAGATGATGAACAGTAATTGTTTTTTTTTAACCCATATGCATGGCAAATATGTGCAGATGGCACAAAAAACGGATCCTTGGAAATTCCGGAGGAGGGATTGGGTGTCAAGAGGGAGTAACCATCCCCTGTTGACCGGTCACACCCACAGCGAGCACTATGTAGAGACTGGATAGAAAGGAACTTTCCGTAATCAAACTGAGTATAAAAACAATGGACATAATTGGAATGAAACGAGCCAAATATGACCCATTTATTTTATTAGTTTATTTTCCAACAAGATCATTATAATGGCCATTGAATTTTCAAAATGTCAACTTTAAATGAGTTCGTTGAAATTCCTAGGCATGGTTGTCCAAATGATAATTGATTGAAAAGTACACGTGGTTTTTTTTTCTTTCTTTGTCTTGAACAACGTTATTTGAATAACTTGAGATCTGGTTTTCTTTTTTTTTCTTAATCAAAATTTTAATCCTTTGGGATGTGTTCTCTAATCTTCAGAATGCATGTATCCTAATTACGGACAGAACTGCAGTCGCCAATGTAAATGTAGCAAGTTGAAATGCAGTCGATTTTATGGATGTGGGATATCTACGACAATGAGAGGTACGCATTAACTAAGTTATTGTCCAAGAGTCTGCTTAGTGAAAGACAGTGAAAACATGGAAATTTATAGTTATTTTTACTTTGAATTCTTAATTATTCTTAATAAATGAATTATTACTTTTTTACACGTAGAACAATAATACAATGCTGTTTGTATTTAATTATTTTATAATTATGATAATTTGCAGTAGCGTTTAGAAAACAGTGCCTAATTAAAGTAAACGTATATGTATAAACGTTTTGCTATATTAAATGATATGGATATCAAAAATACAAGCTTAAAAATCCTCTTTTTTCGTAAACAGCAACTCATCTTCAGAGCAGGAAGAAAACACAATTGTCAACGTTAACAGAGTTTTCTACTGAGTCCCCATCACAAGCTGTTTCAAATATTTCAGTCATCAGTACATATAAGATATCAACTGAAGCAATTAAGCAGGACTTTGAAGCAAAGTCATTTTTCTTTGACAAACCCTTATTAATATGTGTCAGCATCTTCTCAATGTTTGTACTCATTCTTTTAGTGCTGTATATATCGATTCAAGTGTCTGATAGATTGAAATATATAAGAGCCGTGAATAGAAATGATATGTATGAAGGTGACCCTCGAAATCACTACGAGGAAATAGAACTCGTTACAATAACTGAGATACAATAACCTTCTCTTCTAAGACTCTTAAGTGCATACAAATAAGTCAATGTATTCTCTAAATTTTAGGAATGCATGATGTATTTAAATTGTATATATTTAAAAAGAAACAATACATTTAAAATGTATATAGAAGGAGATTTCTTTTCAACTTTTTTTAAATATTTGCTCTCTCGAGCTCATGCTTTAAACAACAACTGCAATAACAATGCCCGTTCCTTTTTATTCTGCAAATCGTACACGCATTGCAAGAAAGAACCGATTAGAAATTTAATGTATTTGTATTTTTAAAGCTGTCTATGTACAATTTGTTTCATACAAAATATATCCGTATTCAGACATTTCTTTCAGATACTGAGTACCCTGATATATTGTAACGATATATTTACCCCAAAATGTGCCTGTTACACTTAAATTAATTTTTTAACCTATGCAATCGACTCGAGCACATTCATGATGGTAACGCATTTTAGTTTACATCAGTTGATCAAGACATTTTAAAACCACAACACATAAAAAATTCATTATGAATATATTCGTATATATACGAATAAAATTGTGAATCACGATTTTAAAAAAAAGAGAAAAAAATGTAATCTTGAAAGAAAATATCTTTACAGTATACCAATATATGCAGTATTACTCAGTATATGTACTTGTCAAGCTTTGCATGTTAAAATAAATTTTGGATTACAGGATGAAATATAATTCTTTTTTAGTTACAAATACTGCTCTATTACCTTTGTTGCCCTCCTGTGTCCTGAAACGTGTGTTCACTGTACATGTAAGTTTTTATCTTTTGAATTCTTAATGAACTTCCTGGGTATTCAATTTGCTAAAGTCTGCAGTTTAAATTTAATGGAATTAGAATCCATTTTTATATTGTGCAGAAATTAACTTCAACTATTCAACACGTTCTACATGAATACCGTATGTTATACACATTTAATCATTTTTTTGAGATTGGACATGTCACACGGTCAAAATGTGATTGGTTCATATAGAACTTCATTTATTTCCTTCTTCCAAGGTACTCTATTGTTTTCAAATTGATAATATCTTTAAGTTATCTCGGGATGTTCATGTTGATTTTATTTCAAAGAAAATTTTAAGAAAACTTGCTGTGCTTAAGAGAGTGCGTTATTTTATGCTACCGAATGCTTTAATTAAGGTTTTTAATAGTATTGTATTTCCGCATTTTACTTACTGTTCCACTGTTTATTATTCAAACTTCAAAAGAGGGCAGCTTGGATACTCTTAAACATTCGAGATATTTTAACTCCTACTACCTTTTTATTTTCCTGTTTAAACTGGATGTTAATCAAGGATTATTTTATGTTTACACAGGTCATTTTTCTATTTAAGGTTTTAAACAATCAAATGCCAGATTATTTGAATGTGTTTCAATATACAAGAGATGTCAATTGTCGCCAAACCCGGTCGAATGATTTTATGTCAAAAATATTGTATTTACAACGAGCCAAATCAGAAAATTACAAACGTTCATTTAGACAATCATCTGCATTTTTATGGAACAAACTGTCACAAAATGTACGTAATTCTAGGTCAGTTGATATTTTTAAATCTGTGTATCTCTCAGAGTATTTTAACAGACAATACTTAAAATGGATCCCCCCCCCATCTTTGAGTGTACCATCTTAAAAGATATATGTTTTTTCATGTTTATATATGTACATGTATGTGTTGTACTTTTATATCTTATGTTTATATTAAGATGTTAATTTTGTATGTCATTATGTGATTGTAAATATGTTTTAACGCAGGACCACAATGAAAACTATCTTTATGCTAATTGTGTTATCCTGGATAAATAAAAGTTATTATTACTTTTGTAATTATAAATATAAAAATTAATCTAATTTGGAAATTAATAAAAACATTTGCGATTGTTAACATGAGCATGCATGCTTTGTATTCAAGATCTTAGTAAATGAAAGGTGCCTATATAGATTTCTCATGATTGAGAAACAAATTCATGATCCCTTATAAAGGAAGCAAGGTAAAATGAGATGTATCGGCACTTAATTTTTAGGTAAACCCAGTGAGAAAACATATTTCAAACTGCCATTTTCAATTATAAAGAATCGAAGAAGGTCTTAATTGCGTAGTTAAAGGAATGTTTCATTCTCGGATGACGGTTTTTTTCATTTCTTCTTAACCTCTTCTTTAAAATGATATTAACATGAACATAAGTAGCCTGTATACTTTATGCATAATTTTGAATTAATTGCCATGAAAATGCTTGATTTCTTTCTTACTGTCGTAAAGTACACCTAACGGGAAAAATTAGTCAAATCAACTATGACGTTTAAAATACAATTTGAACTCATTTATATACTAGATCTTAATCAGATGTGCATGTTCATTGTTTTCACGCACTTCTGACTACGCTGACAAATAATTCGAGATTTTAACATTTGCTTTCTCCAGTTAGATTTAAGATATTTTTTTATAATGGTTAGAACAGTGTTAGAGAGAGAGAGAGAGAGATTCCTAACAACGATCCGTCACCACAAAGCGGAAACACCATTCATATAATATTTTGATTTGTTTCTTGTTTGCAAAACAAAGTAAAACTGAACATTATTTTTAGGAGGTTAGTGCAACTGCACGATGTTTTTCGATATTGTTGACATCGCAGTATTAAAGTTCCAGTACTTCTTATATCATAACATATTGAACATGACAATGCTGGATAACACCTTTGTTTATCTCTCCATATATAACATTAAAACGATATTGATCGAGTTCACCTCATGTTAACATTGCCTTCCACTTTTTCTGTTGTTTACATTGTTCACTTTTTCGACATCGCAATGTAGGTTGATATCAAATCGACATCGTGTCAACATTTTCTTTTTATTTTTCTTGTTTACATCGTTCACATCGTCGACATCGCAATGTTGGTCAATATCGAGTCGACATCGTGTCAACGTTGCCTTCTTATTTTTTTTTTTGTTTACATCGCAATGTCGACTTCGATATGTCGACATGTAGAAACAATACCAATGAAGACGATATAAACACAATATCGATTCAACATTCTTTACTTTGCGATGTCGACGATGTCAACATACAATGTCGACAAAATCGAATTGATAAAGTGAACTGGACTTGAATGATACTTCGATGTAAAACATATGGATTCTCTATTTTGGCCCCACCAACCCCGACCGGAGACACTCGTCATCGTATCGGGTGCATGTATTACATCAAAGGACAGCGAGGTATTTCTTCTTATTTTTTTCACTCTAATCATGATTTGAACAATTCAGAATCCAATCTACATGCACATGTACAGTGTACCTAATATTATTAGTTACACAGTCAGTAAGTGGCCTAATAAGGATTCATACTGGATGTGAAATGGAAATCCGTATTAGGCGAGGCGTATTAGATCTCTAACTGACCGTGTTACGAATTTATCCCGCTGAATACCTTTTTCTATATTAAAAAATATTTGTGCATATTATGAAAATATTAAGTTTTAATCCAATAACATTCAACATAAAATATCGTCACGGTAACAAGAAATTTAACTAAACTACGTAAGTAAACCGTTTCTTAGCCGCCATTTTTATTTACAATAACAACGCTTCGAACGGAATCCCTTGCGCGATTTTCATATTACGCCTCGACGGAGACGTAATAGGGAAAATTTCAGGGCGTCATGTGATTAGCTTTTATCCGATCAGTAATCAACAAATTTGTCTGAAGCGGGATAAAATTGCTTCCACCTAAGTTTCAGCTTTTCTGGCCCAGTGGATTGAGAAGAACTTTAAAGAATTTCCCTATATATTTCAATGTAAAACTTGGATTCTCAATATTGACGAATAATTTAGAATGTGCACTACACAAGGATGCTTCCACATAAGTTCCAGCTTTTTGGAATATGGGTTCTTGAGAGGAAGATTTTGAACGAATCTTAATTCCTTAATTCCTTTATAATTCAATGTAAAACTCGGATTCCATATTGTGGCCCACCCCAGCTTAATCTAGAAATAAGCGCAACTTCCTGTGCGCAATAAATACAGTTTTTACGATGGATGGCACTCTACAAATGTACATCTCCGGTCCGTCAATAAATTTCTTTTCGGAGGGATACAAATCTGCAGCTTCTGCAGCTAAGGCGTTGGAAGCAGAAAAAACATTATTTTGCAGATAAAGGAAGAGAAAGAGAGAGTGTTTATTCTGTAATATAGATACGTTCCAATATTACCAATAGGTAATAGTTTTAAAGGGGTTCAATCCTGAGCTTTTGAGCAGATTTTGGCCTTGACATTTATTTCTAAAATTCTGCATCAGTATGATTTTTAATTTCTAACATTAAATTTGGATTCTTCAATGCAAATAAAATCATTGAAAAAAATTGCGATTAAATGCCATACAAATAGGATTACGCCTGGAACTATTTTTTGTGGCAGAAGTTTTTTTTTTAGGAGAAAATGACCAATTTTGACCTTTTGGAATATATCAATGTATATTCAGTATTGTTAAGTTTAGATTTCTGTGTCGCTGTATACAATGACCATCAGCACTTTTTTTAAAGGGGGGGGGGGGTCCGATCTAACTAAAAAAAGGCGACAAACAAAGAAAACAAGAGGCCAATGGGCCATGTCGCTCACCTGAGTACCTTTGGCTATGTTATTATGTTATTTTTTACCAGGTTTCCCCTTTGTTATACCTATTGTTATCACACTCTTCCCCCGGGGGTCATGATTTTTTTTCAACAATTTAAAATCTACACCACAAAAGGATCGATGCTTCCACATAAGTTTCAGTTTTTCTGGCGCAGTGGTTCTTGTGAAGAAGTTTTTAAAGGATTTTTCCTATATATTTCAATGTTAAATTTGGATTTTCTATTGTTGCCCCGACTTACCCCCGTACGTCATAATCTGAACTATTTAGAATCTACACTGTGCAAGGATGCATCCATATAAGTTACAGCTTTCCTGGTCCAGTGGTTCTTGAGAAGATTTTTAAAGATTTTTTATGGCCCCATTGTCAGGGGTTCTAGTGCTAGGGTGGGGCTTAATAGAATATATAGTGAAAATGAAATATATTTCTTTGAAAAACTTCCTCTGCCCCTGGGCATTAAATAAACAAACCAAGTACATAGTTATGTTGAATAAGACTGCCTCTTCCAAAATTGTGAATTTCGTGGCCCAGGTTCAGGGGTTCTAGTGCTATAGGGCGGGTCTATATACATTCATGGCTGGGGGCTATAGTACTAGTAGTAAAAATGCATAAATTCTTTGAAAATCTTCTTTTCTGCTCCTGGGTATTAAATGAACTAACAAAGTACATAGTTATGTTGAATAAGTTTGCTTCCTCCAAAATTGTGAATTTCATGACCCCAGGGTCAGGAGGTTCTGGTGTTAGGGCGTTGTTCTTTTGATCATATAGTGAAAATGCACAAATTCTTTAAAAATCTTCTCCTCTGCTTCTGGGTATTTAACCAATGAACTATGTACATAGTTATCAAGGAGGAAGTATGCCTCTTCCAAATGTGTGAATCTTACGGCCCCAGGGTCAGGGATTCTGGTGTTTGAATGGGACTCTTTTTATTATCATGGTGAAAATGTATTAAATCTTTGAAAATCTTTTACTTTGGTCCTGGGTATAATATGCCAATGATCTAAGAACATATTTATGTTGAAGAAAGATGGTTTTTCCAAAATGGTTAATTTCAGGACAGGACCTCTAGGTCAGGGGTACGGGGGGGGGGGGGGGGGGCAGAGTCCGATAATAAATTAATGCTTTGAAATCTGGTCTTTATTTTATAATAAAATTTATGATAAAATTTCCAAAATTTTCAAATATATGGTCCCAGGTCGTTCCTGTGGCATGGGGCGCTGTTTGTTTTAAAGTGGAAATGCATTTAATTTTCTCTTGGATACCTTCATCTACCTCTGGGTATTAAGAAGCCAAAGTTAGCAAGTGAATAGTAATGATAAGCAATAGTGCCTCTATCAAAATTAAGAATTTCAAAGCCTCTGGTTTAAAAAACGAATCAAATTCAATTGTTGGAAAGGTGTTACATGATACCCAGGTGACTTATAAGGCCCGTGGACCTCTTTTTTCAAATTACTTTTATTAAATCAACCATATTTGACAATACCACAACCAAAATGGGGGGCTGGACTTTCAATGAGTATTTTTTATATAGTTATATAAGAACTTATGCCTGGAAAGGACCACTTGAGGAAAGCATTTTAACTCAAAAACCACGCAAATACACAAGAACATAAATTTTGATTTATTTAAAAAAATGTTCAATATTTAACTTATAATCTCAAAATGATGGTAACCGTTATAGAAAGTGAGTCGTCCAAATGAAATCATATACATATTCTTTGAATTAATTAAATATTATCTTCAAATATCTTCTGACACAAAAATGATAAGCTAAGAATCAATTAGGGCCAAATTTCAGACAATTTAACGACGGGCAAAAAATCGGCGCAGTCTGTTCAGCAACCCCAACTTCTTTCTCTTCTCTTTAGCCTATTGAAAGAAAAATTATATATACGTTATTTAAACGTTTAATTGCAGTTATCATGTTTTATATACAATATTACACACGATCATATATGTGAGTGAGGCCTTCAGAACACGGAACAGGAAAATGATAGGAAGAGGACGGTTTACCTGTTTTTTCTGTGGATTGCCACAACACAGTAATTTTCTCCAGCCTTTTGGCTCGGGATCGTCCTCCTATAAGTTTAAAAAAAACTTACATAACTTCTTTGTTGGAGTTTCTTTTATTTTTTTATTTCAATCGTCTATATCAAAAGAATAAAAAAAAGCCTATGAATTAAACATTCAAAATCGCTTTAATATCAAACAGTGAAAAACGTACTGTTTTGTGGCTTGCATCTGCTTCAGACTGTACATTGGCAGGTATATGTTCATGTATGTCGACTACATGTATAACTGGTCTATAAACAGGAATAATTCAGTAAATAGTTTTACAAACTTAATGTTAACTTAATAATTTTCTTCTTTTGGCTCATATTTCAAATGACAGTTGTCAATAGGCAGTTATACAAGAAACACATACATACCCAGGAATATTGCAGTCAGGTGAAGTTCGGGTCATAGGATCATCCGTAGTTTTCTCTGCAGCTTTATATAATGCCTGTCAAGGGAAAAAAAGGATAATTATGTGTAATCTCTACTGTCAGTGATAAAAATCAATTAATTTTATTCTCTCCTTTCGTCTTTCATATGTAAACGTCTTCATATACAGTAAAATAATCAAACTTCGTTAATTACATTAAACGTCGGAATATCCGAGCAATGATTTGGATTAGAGGTGGGGGTTGAATATAAATAGAATATATTTAGGACTGTCAATCCACTTCAACATATCTCTGGTATAGAGATATATCGGTGTTCGAGATAACGCAATTCGAGATAACAGATTTCAACTGTAGATACATATAATAACATATAAAGATGCATACAGATGCATCCTTATAATTTACAAAAAGGGAGCAATTTCAATTGGGGCGGGGGGGGGGGAACAACCATTTATTTCTGTACTGTACGATTTCTGTAGTATACTGAGTGTTTTCTACAGAATACTAGTACTAGTACTGTTATATCGGCAAAATTATTTCCTACGACCAAGAAAAATATTTAAGGAGATAAACTACCTTTAGAAGAATGCATTTCCAAGGAATTCACGATATAAATAACTTTTATACCTTTGGAGTTATTTCCCTCTGGGCTTCATAAGATTTCTCTATCTCCATGTTCCCTTCTGCAACATTTGCACGACTGACCGGGGATCTGAGGGTGTATTGGACAATTTCTGATCCAATCGTCACTTTAACCTGCAGTTTCTGAAAGTTAAAACAAATCACTTAATCAGCATTATACATGCATGTTATAGGAGAAAATTATATTCAGTCTGTACGTCTAATATAAGAAATATAACATGAATTATTCAGGTATTTGAAATAAATATTTTTCTGATCAACAGATACCTTGTGTATTTTCACTTTCTTATTGTCCATCCGTTGTTGATACATGTATGCACTCTTTTGTTGGTCATAATTCGCGAATCGGAACTGTGAAGTTTTCACCAACTGTCCATTGTCTGGGCTAAAAGCAAAAATTAAAAAAAAAAGGTTAATATATATACCCGATATTTAACATGCAATGCACTAAACTGTACATTTTGCTCCTGAAATATACAAATGATATTTGTTGATGTACGATTTAGAAGGGCAAAAGACATTTTTTTTCTAGAGAATGTAACATTTTCAATTATAAATCATTTACCTTGCGGCAGCCTGTTTTGCTGCAAGAATAATTAAATCTCGCACAGTCTCCCGGGCAACTCTGCGATATATCTGTTGATTAATATTAAACAACAATTAATTTAATTGTGCTCCTCTGCACTCAAAGATTTCAAGGAGTAAATTGTGTTTTTCCTTATAGAAGAAATAGTATTATCTGCGGTATAACGATTTTATTTTTCTATAGGAAAGCATTTCGATTCGTCATCTTTTCAACATTATTTATTTAATAGAGTACTAGTCTTTTATTTTACCTTTTTCATCGTTATTTGCTGCTCCGCGTAGAAATCCCGTTTTGCAATTAAATCTATTTTGTCATCAGAAGCTCCGAGTAAAGCAGGGGGCATATTTTTCTGTTCTTTGGGAACGCTGAGAGGAAGAAACAAACCAACTTCAATCTCAAGAACTATGACAATTTTAATAAAATTGGTAAAATATATGTAAAAGACGCTAATAAATCAAAAATATAATATTGTGTTTGTTTTACATACCTGTGGCTGTACTCAGTAGTACAATAGCTGTAAACCTTGTAAATGACCTCGTTGAGGATGCTACGTACTATCTGAAACCAATTTAATTAAATGTTAATTATCAAGGAGTATTATACTAGAATGGCGTTATATAGATTAAAATTAAATTACATCACTTTTAAGTCGGTTACTTGTAACAGTCTAGAGTTTAATGAGTAGAATCCTCACAACTTACCGTCGATGAACTTGCCATTGTATTGTTCAAAGAACAACATGAGAAAATATGCAACTGAACGGTAACCAAGAATAATGCAAAAGGCATTATGACGACATTGGTATTTTGATGTCATTGGTATTATGACGTCATTCAATTGAAAACTAGATGTTTTAGCAAAATAGATCAAAAATATGGAAACATATGCTACCATTATATGATGAAAATTACCGGAAAGAAAGATAATTCATGTCTATCCCAAAAATAAAACTAAGGATTATGACTCTCAGGATATGACAGTTTTTGATTGCATACCATGTTTTCAATAAAGACTAGTATAACTATATAACTATCTTTCTCTATCTGAATTAAAACTTGATTTCCCTCGATCGTTATCATTTCTATGAGATGCGAGTGTATCTCAGAAGGTACGCCTGAGTAATAACCATTTGTAATCATTACATGTAAGTATACGATAAAGATGAAGATACTTCCTACCTCTTCTCCTTTTACTTCCATGATAACAAACAAATCTTAAGCCTGAAGTTTTGGTTGTGCACGAACAATGTCGTCCAAAATCTGATTATGACGCAAGTAGGTTTGTTACGTCAATTAAACAGTGATGTCATCGGCATTTTCACGAGAGAGAGAGAGAGAGAGAGAGAGACAGAGAGAGTGGGACTTGTTTTATTAAATAATATTTTTCATGACTCCCAGGCCTGGAAAATCTTTTCTTTTTTCATTTATTTTCTTTAATAATTATCGTCGGGGATACTCCTCCTTCGTGGCACCTGGTCCCAGCTCTAATGTTTTGCCATCTTCATCATGGTCATATAAAAAAAAATAATCGAGCTTAGACTTTTTTTTTTTGGATTTTTTTTTTCTGAGAAAGAATTTTTTGTAAGTTTTCATGTTTTCCTCAACCCCTGTTTTCAATATAGACAATATTTTATTTCCAATTAATCAAGGGCCCCTAGAGAGGCATGAAAGATACATTTGTATATATATGTACATGTATGTCTGGTATATCTCTTCTTTTGTCTCCAGTATTTTGTTCACAATCTACCTGATTAATTAAAAGTATGCAAAAAGTAGTAGACCTACCCCTAAAGTAACCGTAGAACAAACGACCAAGTGTTAAATGCACCAGGGGCGAACCGTCTAGGCTACTAAAATGGAAGTAGCAAAGTGTCTGAAGTGGTCGTTCAGATTTCGGACATTGATTTTCCCTGTTAATACTTGTTATAAACGCAAATTTTCAAGTAATCATAGGAAAACATTAATAAAAGAACTGAGAAAATTAAAAAGTAGCGCTTGTCGCCAGTTCAAAACAATCGAAGCCGTTGGATATCAGAAGTCGGACATCAATAGATTTGAAAACGAAGAAAATGTGCCATTCGCTGAGACATTCACTGGAAATTGCTGTTGGAATTTTGTTTCATACAGGGATCACAAGAAAATCGGGCGACACACGTCTGCAAATGTCATATTCGCAAAAGGATATGAAACTCTTGAAAAATACATGAATGGCGATTTTCTCGAATCAGAGGAAATGCAGGCTGTGTCTGCCCTCGAACGATTTGTTGAGGAAAAAGGTAAGATCCGCCCTACTTCCATTATCCAACAATCTGTAAACAAATGAATATATTATACCTGCTCATCTGATTAAAGAGAAAATATCTACAGCAGTGTTCATAGCAAAAATACAGATGTGTACACTTTCTACTTTCATTTTCCATGTATTTTGTACTGTGTTATATTATAAATTTTCCAGCTTGTTCAATTTTAACCCATACTTTTTGTATTCAGCATTTTTGTATTGTGATGATACCTGAACATATAATTGTTATTTTAATCAGAAATAAATGTGTCTGGTTCTCATTTATTGTACTTTAATATAGAATTGTTGTTTAAATTCAATTATACGAATACACCTGTACTCTTATTTTAGCCATGAACATAAAATCATTAGGATAATTTTAAAAATTAGATCCTATGCCCTTTGTCGTGCTTTTCAAAATGTTCAGTATTCAGTAACTACAATTGGAAACACAGCCCAGGGTCTTATAGATCGTTTCAGTCAACTGGCACAAAACTGTTAATTATTGTTCAAAATATTTTACCCATACGATAAAAGATCATCAAGTGTTCATATTTAAAAACACAGGCTGATTTTTTAAGACTTGCGAATATATCCTGAAATATTTACATTTCCAATAAATTTCCCCTATAATTCTTTACAAAATAAAATGCGCCCCGTGGGGATCCGGGTTAGAATAGGTCCTTAGTACCCCTTGCTTGTCGTAAAAGGCGACTACATGGGGCGGTCCTTCGGATGAGACCATATAAACTGAGGCCCCATGTCACAGCAGGTGTGGCACGATAAAGATCCCTCCCTGCTCAAAGGGAAGTGTCGAGCAAAGGCCTAAATTTGCAGCCCTTCACAGGCAATGGTGACGTCTCCATATCAGTGAAATATTCTGGAGAGGGATGTTATACAGTATACAATCGATCAATCAAAATAAAATGCAGTATGTTTTCTCATGAACTACATTAGGTATGTATCACTAATAAGCATGAATATTTTCATTTTTGCGTCATAATACCGCTCTTGACGTCAAAAAGTCAAAAAATATAGTGCAGACTGTTTTGTTTTAAAATGACAGTTGAATGGCATAAATTTTTGGCAAGT